CATAAATAGACCTGCCTATGGACGAAATCTCAGGTTGAAATATCATCATTCAATTTTTTGGTATATACCGTGGTAAAGACTAAAATCCCAGTAAAATGCCTATAATTCGGAACAGAAGACCTATGGGTATTTGTCCTTTTGGGGTTTTTCATACCTCAATATGATCTATCAAATCCATGAAGTTCGATCCGAAAAACAATTTATCAGTTGGATATGCTCCCTCGTTAGATTCACTTTCTTTCTGTGTTATTTTCTGCTAGGAATGAATTGATTCGAATTTTTCGATCACAGTTGAATTTATTTATAATTACAATTTATTTTAATTCAAATTAATATATTACTCGAACAAAATACACATGAGCAGATTTAACTCAAAGCTCAAATTTGAATCATTCGATTACTCTCAGCATTGCGTTTAAATTGAAACTTATTTAAAGTAAAAGAACGTAACATGCGTGCACTGTGCAAATAAGCCTTCATTTTCTTTAACAAGATAAGCATATAAGTTTGCGAGCATATAGTGATATCATCTGAATGACTGATAAACTTGTAACATGATATATTTTCTTAATTTACACCATTCTTTTTTTCTTATTAGTGTTATAATTTTGTTTGCTAGTAAGATACAAAAAGAATATCGAAAAAGAAAGCGAGAACAATTTCTTGATTCTACTAAATAAAAAAAATAAACTAATTTCTTATACTCCATTTCGATTGGTAAAAGACTACTTTTTTTGTACTCAACCCTCTACCATCAGAGATTTTGTTTTGTTGTTTATGTTTCAAATAGTCATTCTTTTATTGAATTTTTCATGAAATAATCTATTAAAATTCAACATCTCCAATTGCCCGTTAGCTAAAAAAGATCTTTCAAACTTTTGATATGTTGAAACAGAAATAAACATGTATAACAAGGACATATAAGACAAGTTTTGAATAACGTTTTTTCAATTTTATACGATAATTAGTTACTGAATTTTTCTTTGAGTTCATTTTTTTTGTTCTTTAACGTATGCAGCTGTCAGACGACTAGACATGTAAATGTCAACCATCGATGGTAAACAATCACTAACTATTATTATGTCGGATGGAAAATCGAAACCTAAATATTGTATTGCAGCACGAGTAAATGTCTGGCAGTTGAGCATTGATGACCACTTTGTTCCTTGATTTTTCATTGACACAGCATAATGAACGTTATTTATAAGTTTAAATCTCAAATCTTCTGCAAAATAACTTGGCACATAAAATTTTTGAATTTCGTTCGATGGAATTTTTCCTATTTCTCTAACTTCATAATAATAATCCCATGGTCGTTCTTTAAATTCACAGTCAATATATGTGAAATGATTCGTTGACTTCTCAATGCATAGATCGTAATGTGTAGCACAAAAAGTACGTTTTGTTGACGATCCTGCAACAGGCAAAACGAGAATGACACATCGAAAATCTCCAATTAGGCGAACATACCTGTTATATCAATAGCAAGACCGTAGTGTGTGTGTTTTGAGATTTCATTTGGTGCAATGTTGCTCCCTGCTTTGTGTTTCACAAAGTAGACGGTGCCGATTTGTTGAGGATCGGCATATTCTTGTAGACATATTATACGAGACATATAAGGATCAAATTTTATCAAGTTGTTTCCCATAAACAGTAGAGAAATCAACAATATTTTGTAAAATTATCTCGAATGATAAGAAATTATTTAGAATATAATATAAATCCAGACGTCTTTTATGGTTGAGAAGCTCTGTAATAATTAGTATACCGACAGAGCAAAAAACGGATAGCGTGCTAAGCAAATCAACGTCAGATGCACAACGTGTGACGTTCTAAAAAAAAATTAAATAGGCCACACTTCAAATTAGCACTAGTTGATGGAGAAAACTTTTCTCTACCAAACTGCTCTTTTATTTCTTTTAGAAAAAGTATTTATGCCTAAAAATAGTGGACATAATCTGATCAAGCCAAACACATATCAACTATAAAACTTTTTTCTCGAACATAAAAAATAGACCAGAAAAGCTGAGTTCATCAGGGGAAATATTTATTACCCGCCTACATTTTGATATCAAAAAGCCTTTGAAGAACTGACTAGAAATCAATAGTGTTTGTAATAAAAATCTAAGTTACAATGTAGTATACTCTCCATTACATTCACTCTAAAAATTAAGACACACGAAGAGTATAAACAAGACGTTTCATCCGTCTGATTAAGACAATTCGAGAAGTTTCTGATTGGTCGCTAAACGTCTTGTTAAAACACCTCAAGTGTCAACGGATAACCGATTTTAGACACTGACATGCCTTAAATTTTTATGATTGGAGTAGTTCAACCAATGTTAATGAGCGTCTTATATCCATCTTGTTTAAACATTTCTGCAAATCTACGGCTCACTAGTTCTAGAATATATACAATTTTAGGTATGGTGGAAAAAGGCAGAAAGGAAAAATATCGAAAATATAAATATCGAAAACAAAAATTTTACAAATTTAGATGAATAGAAATGCTGAAAATGAGAGTACGTTGAAGTACAAGTCTTTCTTACCCACAGCTCCAATCTTGAATGTTCATTTTCACCTCATATTCATGTTTTCGATATTTTTCCCTTTCGACATTTTTCCTTTCTGCCTTTTTCCATCCATTCCAATTTTATATGAACACTAAATATAAGAAAAAAATATTTTCCACAAATTAATTTTTTTGCAGATTTTAATTGCATTAGTATAGTCAATAATTAGATAAAAAGTAATGTAAATTATCGTAATATATATTTTTTACAGTAAATGAAATTCGAAAAAAATGAAATTTGTGCAATAAAATAACTGCGAAATATTTTTTAAATAATCTCATTTTTTTTCGAATTTTATTTATCATAAAAAGAATATATCACGATATTCTTCATTATTGTTTATCTAATTATTGACTATAATAATGCAAGTAAAATCTACAAAAAAAAATTTTCTTAAAAATTTTTTTTCCTATACCTAGTGTTCATAAAAAATCGTATATATTCTAGAACTATTGAACCATATATTTGCAGAAAAGTTTACAGAAAGACGGATGCAGCACAAGCCTATACATGGGAAATAAAATGAAAGTTTACTATTTTTTTAAAGCAATTATAATTACTAAATATACTTGTATAGAAGTAGTGGTGGCTATTTTAATATTATCTAGAAAAGAAATAAGTATCCTAATATTGTATTAGAAATTAATAAAAAATAAATTTCATCTGTTTCAATGATATGTATATTTATGAAATAATTTCATCTAAAAGCAATTTATTGAAAAAATTTTCTAAAATCTGACGTTTATATATAAAAATATATTTATTCTAGAATTAATAAACCTTAGATTGTTAGAGTAATCTACGAAAAATAGATACGAGACAAATCTACAATTGAAAAATAAAAAGATATTTAGTACTTTATTCTAAATTATTTAATACTAAAGCGTATTGTAATCCTATTTTTGAGAATATTTTTATTATCTAGAAAATAGATATGTAAAGAATAATTTAAGAATAAATTAATATTATCACCTCAAGTAAAAAACTGAAGAGTTCACTAAACAGAAGTAACCGAGAAAGTTAGTTCTAGAAAGAAGAAATATTGAATATTTTCAAGAAATCAAGTAGAATTATTTTTTAACCTCTATCTCTAAATTAATGAAACTACGACAGAAATAAAAATAATTCGAACTATTGGTCCCTTGTGATAACAATGCATTACGAGAAAGAGAAGGTTAAGACGTTTTCCTGTCTTTTCACTCATCTGTCTGAAAACAAGACGTACTTCGTGTCTAATACGAATCTACACTAGATTTAAGACGAATGCAACGTCTAGTAAGACACGAGGCATTTTTTAGAGTGTTCTATTGAAACATGCAGCCATTATTATTGGCCTATAGCCTCATATCAATGGTGATCATCTCGTGAACCCGACTTGGATTCGAAAATTCGATCGCATTAAAATCTTGAGAGTGTGGGTGTGGGTGTGAGTGTGGGGTGGGGTGGGTGAGGGTGGGAGTGGGAGTGAGATCAAAAGATTGACACATGCACCATCACCCACACCGGCACTCCAAACCCACACCTACACATGAGCAGATTTAAGCCAAAGCTCAAATTTGAATCATTCGATTACTCCCAACATTGCGTCTAAATCGGAACTTATTTAACATTTCTATCAAACCAAAACTGTTCAAGTTTTGTGCATGGTTCAATCATCATCATCAAATGTTAAAATAAGACGAATTTCTCCACTAAACTTTAAGTTCAAACTTAAAACAAATTTCCATTATTAATTTCAGTAATGAGTACGAGATTTTATCAAAATAGAATAGGGTAGGAATATAGTATCTCTGTAGCGATCAACTAGTAGAGTGATCTTTTCGCAGAGTTTGTTTATAGATTCCTTATTTGTATTGTTCGAAAGATTGATTGGATTTTTCTAACCTTTAATATGTTTCTCACTCATTTATTAATAGAATCCTCGTGAAATTGGTAAAGGCAATTTTGGTACTGTCTATCATGCTTTATACAAAGGTACTCGTGATGTCGCATTAAAAACATTGAATACACAAAATGAAAGTGCATCAGCATCTTCATTTAATAATGATGATGAAAGTATACATGAATTACTTTCTGAAGCAAATATAATGACGCAACTAAAACATCCAAATCTTTTACGTATACTTGGTGTTACATTTTTTGGAGATAAAAAACAATTGAGTTTAGTGACGGAATTTATGAGAAATGGTTCATTATTAGATTATTTGAGAAAATATCGAGAAATATTTTTAAAAGCAGATTCACGGAATATTACAACGAAATTAAATGAATTTGGAAGACAAATATTTGAAGCTATGCTATATTTAGAAGAAAGAAATATCATACACCGAGATTTAGCGGCAAGAAATTGTTTAATTGGCCAAGATGATTCACTTAAAGTTGGAGATTTTGGTTTAACAACGTAAGTTTAATCGATTTATTTCTCTTTTCTTTTTTTCAACAATAATTTGTAGTGACAAAACTATAGTAAGATATTTTAATTTAGATTAACTGATTGTGGTTTATACAAAGGTACAGATCGTACTATATGTGCTCCACGTTGGACATCACCTGAAGCGTTATTTTCATCGAAATATTCTTCTCGTTCAGATGTCTGGAGTTATGTATGAACATTTTTATTTGATTTTTTAAAATTTTACTTCAGTTTGATTTTACTTCAATAGGGCATAACTCTTTGGGAAGTCTATTCACTGGGTGAACGACCTTTTGGAAGTATCAATAATTTTGCTGTCCAAGTTATTTTAAAAAACTCTTCAGAAAATCTTAGTCGTCATCTTCCACAACCAAAACAGTTTGGCTCTAGTGAAATATATACACATATTATTCTTTCTTGTTTAATATTTGATGTTGTAAAGCGCCCACGTTTTCGCGATTTAAAAGAACGCATTTCAAATATTCTTATAGAAAAAGATTAATAAAAGCAAAACTAACTTTAATATGATTATAAATGAAACAAACATATTATCATTATGATCTTATTTTAGATTTATCACTGAAGAATTACTTCCGAAAATATATTTTGTCTATAATCAAATTTTGCATTGTGTCAGAAAAATAAAATACTATTAACGAAAATACAAAACTATATAAAATATGATAGAAAAATTCTTTAAATAGATCGAACTAAAACAAAAAGAGAAATAATTCAGATTTTTCTGTTTCATTCAAATGGAACGAATATTATGTTATGTTGGTGAATGAGGTCTCATATAGATATGTGCGTTCAATGATAAAGAAAGATGTTCAATAGAAGTCAAATAGACTTTAATTATCACACGTAAATGATCGTAACACATTTTTCTATACTTGAATCCAAATCCAATTCGTAACTCGTTAATAATCAATTAGACAGTTAATCGTATAGTTTATTTACATTGTAATTTCCTGTTCACGTTAATATGATATTTTTATTGGTCTTAAGTATGTTAAGTCACCTATATTTAACATGATTGATTCTGCGCTTGTTTGGGTCAATTTTCTTTATTTTAATGATTCATAGTTTAAAAATCAAGTTGAAAGTTGTAAATGGACTCAATGTCTTAAACTTGAAATTTCACAAATGAAAAATCCGAATATTTCTCAAGATCTTATATGAACAAATTTATTCAAATACCAGTGAATGTTACCTTTTCATATTATTCTTTTTTCAAATATAACTATAGACGAAAAAAAAATCAGAAAACAAAAACTTGAAGAGAACATAAACGAAATCGTATGATATCAGTTGTTTTGTTGTTTCAAATAATTGAACTAGTATAAAAAAGAAGAATTGTTCTTTTTTTGTCTCAGTTTGATTCGTACGTTAATATTATCGATATTGAACAAAGTATGTACATAACTGCTTCTCATTGCTTTTACTTACTAATGCTTCAAAAAAAGAAGACAGAATTTATTAATAATCGAATCAAAAGTTAGGCTTATTTTCTGTTAGCACAAATAGAAATGCTTGAAGTTATCAAGTCTTAAGGGAATTACGTAAACCTGTTATTGAAATGTTTATGTCATTCCTAATCCAATGGGAACGGGAAAACCAAAAAGATAACAGAAGATGTTTAGACTGTACTATTACGTATAGTTAAATTAAATTATACTGTTTCTTTTTGTTTTTATAAGTTATTTTAATAAAAAGAAAACATTCGTCGGTTTATGAATTGAACCAATAACCCATAAATTCTTCGTTCGAAAATCTGCGATTGATTTTTAATCAAAATAGAATCAATAAATTTATTGCAGCAGCTGAATTTGATAACTAATAAAAACTTCATTGATTTGAAATAATTGAAGTCTTCAATTGAATTGATCAATATTCCACTAGTTCCAATTCTGAATATGTATTTCATATTTTATTTCAAAGAAGTAATATTATAATATATTTTATTACTCATAGACTCTTATTATGTTATACTCAACTATGTATAATTATAATTCGAAATAATGAAATTCATGTGAATCAATCAGAAATAAATGCGAAAACGTCGGATTTAAATCCGAGTGTTATGTGTACTTCAAAAAGTGAAAAGGTATATTCACTTTGTTTTTTTTCTATAAGATATAGATCTCATCAAGATACATCCCTTGTCACTAAATTGCAAGGAGAAATACAGGCGTGCTAAGTTAGCATGGACTGCATTGTATGCAACCCTATCTGGTGACCACTGACTCTATTCTCAGAATGATATAATATCTTTAGAAATCACAGAAATTGAGTTCAGATTCGTGTTTAACCTGTAAAACTGGGTAAGAAGAGTTATTTTTCAATGGATTTGCGTTTGTATCTAGCGGGATTAAGATCGTAAGCAACCTCATGAATCTANCCCTCAGGGATGGTTTGGTCAATAATGACAATTTTTTCGATAACTCAGTCATTTCTTAATGAATCCTTTTCATCTTCGAATTCGACCGAGATACCGATGAGACAATTCTGTGCACAAAATTTCAGCTCAATCGAATGTAATTGGGAAGAGTTATCGTGTAAACGGGCAGTCAGACACACTGACCGATTCTAGAGTGTACTCACTTTTTCAGTACACAAAAAAAGTACTCATTGTCATCTTATTTTTCTTTTATTTATCAAATTCGAAATTTAAAAAAACAAAAACGATTTACTGTACTTGTTTAACATTATTTGAATGATTAATTCTACAATGAAATTCGAATACCAATTGTACACCTTTTTTTTAAACTAATAAAATCTCAGATCAATGGAATTAATTCATCTTTATAGAACCGATAAAGATACGGGCTCCTTTTCAGATTAAAACAAAAAAAGTCGCTTCAATCAAGAGAATTAATTTATGCAGAGTCATTTGAATAATATATTCTATTTATTAAGAAAGTAACAATAGAATAGGAGATAATACAACTAAAAAAAGTATAAAGAAAAGTATATAATTTTCCAGTACTAACCATTTCATAAAACGATTCCATCGTTTAATTACGAGTAATAAACAGTTCGCTTTTTAATTATGCAAGAATTGATTATAGGAGCAGCACAACCTTAACCTTAGCGATCATAAGGGAAAATCTACTTGCATTATATAATTTGTAGTAGATTAATGCAGCATTCAGAGATAATGGGTCTATGTGATTTGTCAGGGATACTTGATGTTGTTCACTTTGTTGTAATTTAATCATCAATGATCATGCAAGAATTAAGACTATCTATTTACAAAGAAAAATTTGTGTAGGTAATTTGTAAACATAAAAAAAATAACTTAAATTCAATATTAATTAGGATAAATGTATGTGCAATAGAAGTTATTTAGATTATTAAAGACACAAACAACAACGATATTAATCGATGTTTGGAAAAAAACCTTCAGTATCAATAGAATATTGCAGTTTAATCCATGTAGAACTATTTAAAAATAACTGTCTAATCATTATTGATACAAATAATATATATTTCTACTGTGTATTTCAATCTAAGTTACAAGAAATTATTATGTAAATTTCAAAAGACTGCTAAAAATTGATCTTTTCAATCAATCATGAAGTTTTGTTATTGGATATTATACATTATATAATCTAATTACTTTTGAAATTTCTTAGGCGTCATTTTAATTGAGTTTCAAAAATTAAATTACTTTTTTTCTTATTTCGTTCAGATTTTACGACAAATAATGAAAATTATTTTTTATTGATTTATTTGTTTTGAATGTTGTTTCAATTGCCATATAATTAGTCACTGCACTTAGATTAATCATTAATACCATTCGAGCTTTGAAAGTGAACAATATTGGCATTACTCGAGTTTGTACTTCTTAAATAAATAATACATAAATCAACGAATAGACAGTTTCAAATTATTAAAGATACAATTTTAATCGTTATACTTCAACGACTAAATTGTCGTTTTTTAGTTGATCATGAGTCAAGATGAAAACACTTCAGATATGAAAAGACAACACACGTTCAACTTAATATATGTGAAAAACTAATCCGATAGAAATGAATTTGTCAATAACAAATGTTGTATGTAGCTGAATAATTATTAGTAAAAGTAATGTCAAAAATATCATGTTGAATGACGAAGAAAACATTTCTATACTAAATCTAGATTTAATCATATCGATTGTAATAAGAAGTAGTTGACTAATGCATTGTAATTATATTCTTACAGCATTCAATTTCATAACAATTCTATTGGCTCTAGTTCTCAATCTAGTTATTACTCATAGCCACGTTTATTTATTATAGTACAAAACAAAAAATATATTAACATTTCTTAGAGCGATATAGAATTGCATACAAAAAGATAAAAAAATAGAGTACAATTTTATGTTTCCAGTAGAAATATTTTCCAATGAACTAGATTAACTCTCAAAGAGTTTTCGTCATAAAATATGTAGTCTCTATACAATGAGAAATTCTGTTCAAGGAAATAGTTCAAAGATTTTATATTGAAAACTTTTGTTTATTTTTATATAGAACATCTTAGATTTCAGTTCAACAAGTCAATAAATAGGAAAATTTTTAAGCACTTTGTTGTTCTCATAAAAATGATGAATATCAAAAGTATAGCGTTAAATTGTGTATGATGATTAGTAATATTTGTTCTTCACTGGTTTTGTAACGTTCACAAGCAGTGAAATGATCTTAAAATTTATTATTGTTCAAACGTCAAAGGAAGAAAAAATAATGAAATAGTAATGCTACAATCTTGTTGCATTATATATACGTAAGATTAATGACAATTTACTTTTTCAAGTTGAAACATAGATTACAGAATAAAATAAAATAAAAATAATAATAACAAATGTTGATGGAGAAAGAACATTGTTTCTATTGCAAAGATTAAAATCACAACAATAGACACGTACATGATTTGTCCATTCTGGTATACAATTACGTGAAAAACCTTTAATTATAAGAAATCGATGCGTAGTTGACAAGTAAACCACTGTTTTCTATATAAGTAACTTCAATTTTAATTCTATCCAGATGAAATACAATGCCATACAATGACCAAATTGAGGTGGTGTTATTGTAACTTGGGCATGTAAATAAAAGCCTGGATCAGGAAAATCGCTACAAGAATAACATTGAATTTGTTTGTTACCATAAAAAGACGATTGACTTTGCATTTCTATACATAGTTAAGAAATAATCAAAAATTTTTAATTCATATAAAACTAACCTGATAAAAACAAGATGATTGATAAGAAAACGAACATCACTTTGAAAAAACAAAATCACTTTCAATTTTGATAGATCGATGAGGCAAATATTTATCATATATATTTATACATATTACAATCTTTTCGTTTGTTGAATAAATAGTAAATGCTAGTCAGTCGATCATCCAAACATACATTCTTCAAATAGTCAAGATTTTAATTAATCAAATAAAATACTATGCAAAAGCAATGAAATAATATGTTGCTCTTTATATCTTTTTTAAAAGGATAATTCTGAAAAGAAAACTTTTAGCAAGCGATAGAAATATTTTCTCGTCTTTCAAACTGTATTTGGCTTATTTTTATCAGACACCTATACAAGTAACGATATGATAAGAGATCGAGATAACCTTAAAATGATACCACACTTGTTGTACATTTTACAATAATGGCATTCATTCTCAATAAATAGATATCTTCTTTAAACATGTTTTAGAATGATCATTTTTTAATTAGCTGATAGGAAAATGTTTCTTCTTTCGAACTGTATATAATAAATAGCGAAGAATAATTTAGAATATTTCACTATATAATACTCTCAATTTGATCGAAAGATAAGAATATATATAAGTGTAATTTAATCGCTATATCTGGCAAAGAAAAAAACGAATATCGTGTGTTCTTGAGCGACTTCTTTGTGCAACTGAACAAATGGATTATAGCGATCATTGTTCATCGGATTTTCTAAATATTTTATTTGATCATTGAACTTTTCTGAAAATAAATTAATAATAAACTCAAGCTGATTCTTTATTTTTCATAAAAATCGGTAAGCGTTCAATTACACAAATTCAGCAATATTAGAGTAAATCGATGAGTAATTTTATTCACCACCGTTCTATTCACGCTCATATGGAGTACTACTCCGATCCTCATCGATTTACAGCAAACAAATGCATTCGGATGCCGTATTCGAGGCAGATACTGTCTATGAACCAGTGTACTCATTCATAAAAGTTTTTCTCCTTGTTTTTATCTTATCCTTTCTCATGATGCTCTTTGGTGTTATGAAGATCTACAATACAAAACGATTTCATGTCATTTCTATCACATTTTCATCTTATCGACGCACTGAAAATCAACTGGCTCCAACGCTTCTCGTTCAAGTGAGCATTTACATTATGTTTGTTGCACCTACATGAATAACCTATCATATCATGACTTTGCCAACTACAATCTTTTCTATGCCCGAACTTTATTTTGTCCGCATAATGTCGCAAACTTTATTGCATCTTTTCTTCACCCCATCCATTATTTTTTTTGTACATGAATACAGTTCGTATCTATAGAAACGAACTTGTTCGGCTGGCGCTCATTGCATTGCGATTTCGTGGCAACAAGGAAACTCACCCGACGACAAGCGTAATCATAAAAATTGCTCTAAAAATGTACTCAAAGACTTACAGAGTGGCAACAATATGTTAATGAACACTGACGAGTAAAACCAACACCTCCAGTGCTAGTAAGATATGATTTTTCTCTCTGAGTTAAAAAAACTTCAAGCAAAAGAGCTTCATTTAATCCAAGGGTTAAACATCCAGTTAAGCGATGGTCTTTTTACCGGTTATTGTGACCTGAATTATTATCTGCACTCCTATAAAATTGCATAAATGAACAGATTTAAAATAAATCATTAATATAAATAGATTAGGATATGTTAGACACGATTGGAGTAGAGTATATCATGAATGGTTTCTCTGAAAAGCTTATTTCAAATCAGCTTTTCTTCTATCCAAATAGAATTCGACGAACTCTCTTGATGACACATTTTTTTGACTCGACTCCAGTGAGCTTTTTTATGAAAAAAATTGCTAATTACTTATTTGAATATTATTTATTCTAATAAAACTTTTTGTGATTTTCTCTTAAACATATTCTAATAAAACTAAAATCTGTTATAAACAGAGTGCATTAAGTTCTATTTTGAGCCAATAAAAGCTGAGTTAAAATCGGTTTTACAGCGAATCTATTCAGAATATAATTAAATTCTGATCTAAGATATTCTGCGTCTTCAGTTTGTATAAACATTTTTCATTCTATCCTAATCACAATCCATGAAAACAAATCATCAAGAGCTTTCATTTTGACTATTGTAAAGAATTTCAAGAAAAATATTTTTACATAATATTTGATCAGAATCTGTATCAAATAAAAAAGAATATTTTCATAGATCTAGCTTACGAATAATGACTATCTGACACTATAATGACAGCATTATTTTCAATGTCTACAAAATAACGATAAGAGAAAATGATACGTTATATATCATCTTGCAAAGATTATTTTCTATTTTGTTCTTATCATTTTAAGATCTCAACATTATTTTATTATTTTAAATGAAATTCATTGCAAAAATGAAGTCAATTATAAAGCTTCTTGCACTTATTTTAATTGTAATTAAACAAAGTCAAAGTACTGTATTATGTCCATCAAAACTTCGCTGTATGGATGAAACTCGATTAAATTGTAATAATTCATTATCAGCTCCAACAGATTTTCATTGTTGTGATGGTCTTGATTGTGTTGCTGCCATAATTCCAGCTACTGATACTCAAGATCAATTGAATACAACAATATGCGTTACTTCTTCATCAAAACAACATCAAACTGCAAACAACAAGACTACATCGCCTAAAACACCTCCTATTATGGCATCGTCTTGGTCAGCAGCAACAACATATTATAATATGTCAAATGGTGATACAGGCTGGGGCTATTTTTGGTATGATGTATCTCATCAAGCAATTCGAACAGATTTCTATCCAATATGCCCATTTTTACAATTATATGAAGCAGGTGTTGATGCAAACTATATTCCATGTAGCGTTCTTTTTTATGAAGGACAAAACTATTATGTTTATCCATCAGTTCAAACATGTTGTAATTATACATTTCCTGCTTGGCAACCTGATTGGTTATGTCAAAGTAATGCGACTTTCAATGGAACGATCTTAATCGACGGACAAATGGCCGATTTTTGGACTATCGAATGGGTATGTTTAATATCATTTCAAACATTTTCATGATATTCTGTTTAATATGAATAGTTTTCCAATTTTACTGGTGAAGGATCTGTACGTAACATTCGTAATATGTATACTCAAGTTGATTCACGTATTCCAATACGCTTTCGAGAAGATCTTGATACTGGTTACCTCGATTTTCATGATTATGTGGAAGGTCCCATTGATCAAACCATATTTACATCGATTATTAATGCTTATACTCCTTGTCACCAAGGTCACCACAGTGAATCGACTGATAGAACATGCACTCGATATAATTCACAAACATTACGTCGTTCATGGCCTTGTGATAATCCTACCTGTTCGTAATAATATTATTCAATAACATCTTCCTAACAATGTTGTTTTAAGAATATTACTTAATATGCATATCAGGAGAAAATAATGATTTAAACATCTTTTAAAAAGACCTACTATAAGACTTCGATAATAATAATCAAATTTCAACAATATAGTGTACTGTAATGTAAATTTATCGGATAGAAAAATAACGACTGATAGACATTGAATTGAATCAGCACAAATTTCATCTTCTTGAATAAAATCATGAAACATGTGTCACAAAATAAACACAGTTGATCATTCATCACAGTGAAAACTAAGAATAAAAATCAAGAAATAAATATATAAAAATATTACATCGAAAACGAGTAACTGGTCGCTAAAAAATACGATAGTTAGCCTTTTTATGGGCACATATATTATGTAAATGTAGACTCTATCACATGAATATGAAATAAATTTCTGTTTTCTTCGATCTTATTGTATTATAACATGATCAATATTAATTGAATTAATAATTATTTCTATTATAGGCTCAATAATATTTCATTGCTTCGTCAAGCATTAGTTCAACTTCAATTGCTGAAAAATAAATAATTCTTCTGTCTATTATCGTCATCAAATCTAAATTATTGTTATCGAATACTCTAACGATATGTTCATAAAATAATATTTCTCGAGTATCGTGCAAACGATATTTCATGTAGGATATGACTTCAATGATATGATTTTTTTTGTATAATATATATTTTTCGTAGATAGATATTTTTCTGCACAAATATGACTACCTCTAATTATACTGGCATAACTTTCAAATATGGGCTGTATATATATTCGTGGTGTCAACAGCCAGTATATGATGAATAATATCAAACAGAATCAAATCTTTCGATCATTTGTAAAGAAAAACATGAAGCAATATGATAAAATTTCAGCATTACAATTTTCCGTAATCATACGAGCACACAATTATATACGTAGATCGTATATTGTATTTCGTTAAAGTAGTTGAATTAAGTTCTACAGAGACAGCAACGGAGAAAAAATTATTCTAGGAATATAGTATAATTAATTTACAAAAATATCTATTATCTATTTGAATTGCTTGATTAAAGACGAACATATCATCATCAGGAAACAGTAAAAATCACACATTCTCTTAATCCGCCTATGCCGACACTTTAATTGTCATTCTGAAATAAGACTTTATGACATGATTGATTACAGATCATTGATTTCTATTGACTAACATATGAAAAACAAATGTGCTTGTTGGTAGTTTTCAAAAAATTCTCATTGAAATAAACTAATCATTTTATATGAAAAAATTCTCAAATTAATAGAGAATTCATAGGCTATTGTGAAAATTTAATTTTACTCAAGAAAAACTCATACTCAAAAGAAATATCATTGATCAAATAAACACTACTAACATTTTACTCCTTGTCTGGTTTACAGGTTTCAAATAGAAAGCAAGAAATTAATCCTTTCAAATTGACATCAATTGAAAAACTGATACATCTTCTCTTTCATAAAACAATTCTTATTGTGTCATTTCGTTAGATTTATTAAAAAGAGTAATAGAGATTATTTCAGGCAAAACTCGTTCCAATAGAATGATTAATTAATACGAAAACATAATGCAATAGAACATTTTTCAATCAACATTATAATAAATAAACTATTTCTTTTTGATTGATTACCGTACAAACTTGAACATCTAAGGTTTCTAAAAATAAATGATGATAATATTTTCATGACAATGGCTTTTAGATATCGTTTATTTGAGTCTTCTCTATTTGTTGTTGATTGAAATTAGAAATCAATCAACAACATCTCTTCTCTATATCGAATATTTATGTTCTTTTTAGTGATCATTTCTCTAAATTTTTCGATTCTCTATCAATACTAATGGAAATTCAATTCACTATTTTAACATCATGCCTTATGCTGAAAAATCAATAATAATAATTAAATTATATCGATTCTATCCATAATCTTCATTGAAAAGCTAATTCAACTTTGAAATCTAATTGATGCTTCTACGTACTTCTTCAAATATTCATAAAATTAAAAGAAAATAATCGTTTAGATTATTCGTAGTTGACCATGATCGATGAGAAAAATCTATGTCTATCTACGATTTGCTAACACTAGCCATGTCGTATCATGTCTAGTTTTTTACTTGAAGTTCCATTGATTCATAGATTCATACCTGAACACAACATATATTCACAAATTATAAATTTTCCGTTAACAATTGATAATAGCATTTATTTATTCGAACATTTAAGAAAAAAAACACTAAACTAGCCACATTTTCACTTAAAACTCATCAATTTTGAACCATTGTAAAAACTTTGTTTCAGATTCGACTGAATTAATTCATAGCATTAAATAAAGTAATCAATAGTGATCAGAACAACAATAAACAATCGCAATGACAATCAACGCTGAATACAAAAAAAATATTATCTTTTCTAAAAAGTTTACAAAGAAATTCGAACCTAAACAAAAGCTATTATCAGATTATTGTATAATCAAGTTTATTGAATAATTTTATCATAATAAAAAAGATACAGAAAATATAATTTGAATTAAGCACGGCTTTTATTAATCATTAATCTATTGTAAGAAAAGCAGTGTTTATTTTTTTTAATTAATTAATAATTTGAAAAAGAAAAAGAATGCTTAAATAACGCAACGAAAGACAAAAGAAAGTTGTTTTTAATCGATATATGTGGGTGTCAGACTCTTACCGCTATTTCTCCATCTATTTAAATATTCATTAATATAGAAACGATTCAATGTATTTTTTTTCTCATAAGACGAACAAACATCAATCGGATCATTAACCTCATTCTACTCTTTTGTTTTCATTGAATTGAACAAGACAAAGATTATGTCATGCTATAGCGCAACTACTTGTGCTCATGTTTATTTACATATAAATTAAACCATGTACATACACGTCTTATCGTCTTCATCAGGTTAATCGTTGTTTTTCTTATTTAAAAAAAATGTAACTTCACTCTTTTCAAAGAGATTGACCGACAAAATAAAAGAAACGAAAAGAAAAAGCGAATACAGGACAGAAAGATTGATGAGTTTTTTTGTTTTCTTTATTTCTTCGATCTTCTTTTACAATAAACATTTTATTTGTTATCCCATTAAAAAAATTTAGAGTAGAAATTCAGAAAAATATATATTAAGATAAATAGCATAACTACAAATCAATGGAATAATTAGCTATTATATAATACATTACATTAGAATGTGTATAATAAGAACGATTTATGCTATGCAATTTTTCATTAATTCATTTTCATTCACTTGATATTAACAGAAGACTTTATGAAATAGAATTCGATGCAAATTTATTTTTTGTTAATTTGTACTTTTAAAAGAAAAACTCATAGCTACTTAAAATGCCGATGGATTTTATTAATTTAACTTATCACAGAAATTCAATTGGTTGTAGTTTCAACGATAATAAATATATATTATCTTCTAATAAAATATCTATACAATTTCAATTTATCAAATTACAGATGACTCTTTTTAGAGAATTTGATTGGGACATTGCTTCAATCGAGTTTTTTTATTATTATCGAAGATGTTCAAGTCTACACGGTAATAGTATTGCTTTTCACTCTTCTCCATTTATTTCCTTGGGAAAGACTTAATTTTTGATGCCCTCCAAATTTTGACCAAGTTATAAATTACAATTTTGCAATTAGAACCCTCGGTGATCGAATCTTCTTGATCGTGGCGATCTCGAGATATAACTAGATATAATCATCAATTTTAAAGATTCTTATGGAGAGGAGATAATCTCGAAAAAATAATCTAAATAAAAGCTTACATAAATTCCTAGATGAACTTTCTTGAAAATGCAACGATCGAATTCTTTATTGCAAAGTACGTTACTTTTTGGTAAATAAAATACTACAAAATTGATCTTGTTTTTTATGAGAATCATCTTAAATTATTAAAAGCTTTTTTATTCGTGTACGGTACATAGATTTTGGTGAAGAAAAAGGAAAATTTTTCTTCGAAATTCTGATGTCAATTGCTTTGATATCTAAATATAATTCGATTGAGTATGATTGTTATCAAAAGACTACCTTGTCTTGTCTGCAAAATATTCTTTTCTCTTGTCGTTTTCTTTCTTCGTTCGATGTCTTTGCTGCTGACCATGTTTCAGATCTATTTCAGTCATTATTCTTCTCTGTGAAACGTAAAGAAATTCTTAGATTGTTTTTTCTTCGTCTTTTCATTACACCAATGAGAAATAAAAACAGAGAGAGAAGTAATTTGATTGGTTCTAAGGGTCACATCGATGCGAGAAGACATCGAAAGAAAAATCGTTCTCGAGTTCTTTTTTATGTTATCCATTAAGCAATTTAATGGATCATTTTCTGTCAGAAGATTTAACCTGTATTTCTTTCATCACTTTATCATTCGATCTTGGCAAATACTTTATTCGAAATCCTTCATTCAATTGAGTATCTTCATTAATAATAAACAACATCAAGCAAGCAAGAGAAAAAGAAAGAAACAATTATCTTTTTTTATTTGATCATTTGATCAGGAAAAAAAGAAAAAAAATGAATTCTCTTTATTCTTCTTCTCTTCATTTAATGAATAATAATAATAATACTAATAATAATTATGATGTCGATGGCACAAATACGAATTATTCCACTAGACAACAGTTGTCTGATAATAATGTTAATGTAAATAATGCTCCATGTATTTTACAGTCTCCTATTGTCGATTATTATGAACAAGAATCTTTTCATGAAATATCATCTCAACAAAATTCTCTCTATAATAATGATCTTTATCAAAATAATACTAATCATCTTTATCGATATAATCTGCTTTCATCAACATCAGTTAATCAATCAAGGTAAATTTAGATTCTATTTTTCGTATTCGAAAGCATTGTCTCAAGATTTAGCTACATTGACTTGCACTCTGAAGAGGCTCTCAGTTGAGAAAGAAACAAGAATGAATCAGTGAGTGTTGCGATTTGTTTCATAAACAAATATATTTCACAATGGGACAACAATTCTATTCCTGACACCTACACACACACACACACATTTCTGTTGCTTTTTTTTTGGGACACAATTACCTTGATATATACAACTTTAATTGTGAATCAAGTATACATAACAAGAAAAGCAAAAATAAAAATATTGAGATATTAATTTAAGATATGATTTAATGAAAATTATTTAAATTTTAGTAATTCCTGTGTATATACCTGTCAAAATGGTTCAATAGGAAATTATTGCGAAGAAAATGGTACATCAATTTCATCCAATGGATGCCCACAATCCACTATTGTCTCTTCTATTAATCCAATGTCTCTTGATCTGTATGCTTTATCAATAAGTCCTTCTTCAGGTGTACATAAATCTTCAAATTGTCCTCCATTGTCAATACAACATTCGAATGATTTAAATTCATCTATCAATATAGTTGCATCATTATCATCATTAAATAAAGAAGAACAGAATTCTCCTGTGATCTATCCATGGATGCGTAAAGCGCATATAAATAATCCAGGTTAAAATAGTTTAATTTTTAATATTATTTTAATGGAAAGTTCATCTGATATATTTTGTTTATTTTATCACCTAAGTCAATGAAGAAAATAGTTCGTTTTATTTTCGATATATTTGTTATAACACCATGTTTCTTTCAAATAGTCAATGTCTTTTTAACGACTATTGCAAATATCACTGATTATTCATCATATCAACATTGAAAATGTCAAATATTTCTTTCTTTCAGTTTGATTCATCGAAAAAGAAAAGAACGACAAGTATCAAATTTCTTTTCGAATAAAAATGTAACCTTTGCATGTTGAGCGAAAAAAAAGAAATAGACAACGTGAAACTTCATTTATCATAACAGTGACTATAAAATGAACACGATGGTCTTATCAGTGAATGGCTACGTGACCTAACTATACTTAAAATAGCATAGAAAGATAAATGTTAGTTCGATGTCGACAGTTATTATTCTTTACTGTCATTTTCTATATGCAATGTTCTGTAACATATAGCTGAAAGAGAAAGAGAAAGAGAAAGAGAAAAAAAGCTTTTGTTTTTGACCATCTGCTTTACCAGACAGTTGAACTCAAATACAGATACAAATAATCTAGAAAAGAAATAGAGGATCGACATGTATGAGTTAAAAGTAGGAATTTAACGAGAAAATAAATTGTTGGTATCAACAAACGAGTTGATTCGATCATTTTTCATCCAAATTAAATTTTATTTTTCATGAAAAAACTTAAAAAAATAGAAATAGAATGTTCAACAATGGCCATCTTTTTTCGTTGCGGTCAGTTTGTCTTAGGGAAAGTCGCTTTAAAAAAGTCTTTGTGTAGCTTTTGATTTTAGATGTTCTCTGTATTGATTTTTCAAAATTCTCTTTTTTTTTAACTGAAATTCTTGAGATCTATTGTTTCCTTTTGTTTATCAATAGTCTACTCATCAGTAAACAAAGCAAAAAAAACTCTATAACTTCACTAAAATTTTCTTGAAAAGAACAAAAGTCTCGTAATCAATTGCTTTCGTTTCTAATTTGTGGCGAATTCGAAAGATCTATATTTTTAATAGCAAATTCTTTTATTCTATTTTAGTTATAAATTATACAAGTGGAGAAACGAAACGAGCTCGTACAGCTTATACTCGACATCAAGTATTAGGTTAGATCAATTTATTTTTATTTAATAAATTTCACGTTATTTTCATTGATAGAATTAGAAAAAGAATTTCATTTTTCAAAGTATTTAAATCGTCGAAGACGTATCGAAATAGCTGGTTCTCTTGTTTTAACTGAACGGTAAATTATTTTTCTTTTTTCATTATTTCACATTTTCAGTAGCTATTGCTTTTCTTTGTCAGGCAAATCAAAATTTGGTTTCAAAATAGGTTTGTTTATTTACTTTCTGTTCGTTTTATTTAAAAAAAGAAACTTCTGCCTAATAGAAGAATGAAATGGAAAAAAGATCATAAATTACCAAACACAAAATCTAAATTACCAGAAACATTTCCATCAGCAACAACATCTTCACCGAATTTTATAAAAAAAGAAGAACAAGAAGATGATATTGATCCAAGTATAATGAATAATTATATAAAAGAAGAATCGTTTTCATCGACATCAACTAATTAATCGAACTTATTTTTGTGCTGTTGCTCATGGATTGAAAATAAAGAAAAAATTGAGCCAAAATAATGAATCTCGTGTAAAAAAATAAAATAAATTGCAACAACTTTTCACTTAATGATAAATGACAAATTGATTTCATTGATGTTTTTCTTTTTCATTTTTGTTTTCGTTAGATAGAATTTCTATTTGTGAATAAAATCCACGATTTGACATATAACATGTAGAATTTTTCGTTTTCATTGAACTGCTTCGTTTGATCATCGATAGAAAAGCGAATCATTAATAATCTTTTCTCTTTTCTCTTTTCTTGTTATTGACAAACGAACAGAGATCGATTGGAATAACGTATGTTTATAGCGGCAAAAGATCATTTGTCTTCTTTGCCTACACGGAGATTCTAATGAGTTTTTCTTTTAGTTATTCGAGACATGCAAGATTATACAAACTCATTTATCTAAATAGTCGTTGTCATTACTCTCTCACCAATATAATCATTAGTCATTTCAGGCAACACTAAATTTATAAGAAAAAGTTACTTGTATGACATGTTTCTCTATCTTGAACATGCATATGGAAATTATTGATTAATTCTATTTTAATAAAAGATAATTCGAAAAGAATTAGAATTTAAAAGGAACTTTTATTAGATCAATTAAAAAGTTATATAAAAAATTGAACAGATGATTTTAATGATTTAACTATTGAAGCAAAGAAAATCCAATACAAAAAAATTATTAATCATACTGTAATTTTAACAGTACTTGATACAAGTAAACAAATTAAAACAAAAGTAAATAGTATAATTAATGATGGAGATAAATTATTAAATGATTTATTTGCTTATTCACATGTTTCCTCACATGTTATATCAGTCGATAGCTCATAACTGTAGCTATCGAATCGTGCTAAAAGACTAGAAAAAAAAATTGCTGACTACTATGGCTCGATAGAGCTATACTATCATGCAGTGAAGTTATTTTCTTTGCTTATATAAATATCTATCTAAAAATTGCTATAAAGACGAATATGATCAGATGATTGTTTTTTCAAAATCAGTTTAATTATCTTTCAATGATATAAATACTGCTGATTCTAGACATTAATTAATTAAATATGTTCAAACTTTTTTGAATCTCTTTCATTCATCTATAATTTCGAAATATCTCATAGAATGTCATTTCATAGAATATTTCCATTTTGAAATTTTTATCAAAATTTGATGTTTTTGAAAGTCTTTATCATTTCATCTGATTCGAATCAAAGTTTAGATTTTGTTGAAAATCATAATATATATATATTGCATATTAATCAATAATAAAATGATTAAAATTTATTCTTAAGATATTCATTTTCTTCAACTATAATATATAATATTATTTTTTTTATGTGCGATTACACAATCTCAAGAGATCACTTTTGCAAATGCTCATCTATAGGAACAATTAATTTTTGAATCTCTATCTCAATTAAAATATTTTATTTCAAATATTTAGAAATATAATAATGTTTACTATACATTTCCAAGACATACTAATAAATTAAGTGAATTTATTTCATCATATTCAATTAAAAGAAAATGAATATTTGAAAGCTACCATTGATGTCGAAGATGTTATTTATTCGATTTGTCCTTTTAAGTAAAATAAAAACAGTCATTTTTATCACTCTTCTCTTTGCTTAGAAATCTTCAATCTCCAATGACTAGCTCTTCTTTGAAGCTTTCAAATTTTGCTCGACTTGAATTTACATACATTTGTTATGATCATTTTATTCAATTATTAATCATAGTCATTGGTTTTCTTTTAACTATAACACAGATTCATCATTCAGTAATTTTTGAAAATATCAATTTCCATTGATAAATTAATTTATATAATAGCACTGTTACTGTAACGAATTTAAAAGAGTAAATAACGAATTGGAAGAGTATCATTAGTGTCATCCTCAATATTGATGTTTACTGAACTGCTCCATTACTCCAAATGGTGCACATTTAACAAAGAACCATGCATTATATACACGTACACGAAATCCAGAGAAAACAAAGAATAGGACAGAGAATAAGGATAATGAGATGCATATGTACAATATAAAGAATAGGAATTTCAACATGATAAGACTACCACGTAAGAATAATATAGCGTCATGATTATATAACATTAGAATGATATCATGTAAGAGTAATATCATGTACGAGCAGTATGCTCATCGGCACAATTACTTAAACGTATAACAATAGAAATTAATTCATTATTTTCGTCATGACAAAAAAATTAGCTAAAAATAGTTTAACGAGTCTCTTAAGAATATCAAAAGTAAATAAAATTGCAAAATTCTATCTGAAAAAGAAAACTATTAATATTATTTGAGAAGTAGATAATTCTTCTTTCAAACTTTCTTCTTATATAAATTATTTACAAATTAATACTATAAATAATATTTATGTGAAAGTATTTGTAAAAGAAATTATAATTACAATTGTCAACGTCGATTTTTTATCTCTTCATATTGCAACAGTTGATGATTGAATAGTTGAAAAATTTCCCAAAATGATCAAGTGCAAATAATTGTCTGTTGTTGATACAATTCAACTCATTGTTCTTCTTATTTTTTTCGTAAAACTTTTCCACTATTTCAATACATTTCATTATTCTGTTATGATCACGTCTTGATAAGAAATTATTTCATAGAAATATCTAAACTATAGACTGAGAAAATATTCACTCAACTGTTATCGGATGAAGCAGTTTATTTCCAGTTAATAACATAATCATTCAATGGGCTTTGACGTTTTCTTTTTCGCCTGAAATTAATTCTTATCATTGTATTTCTCTTCTTTTCTCTTTTCTTCTTTTCTCTGTTCATTATATAAAGGTCAATTCAATATGTTCAAAAAATCGAAAATACACATTTTTGTCGAAGAAATCAATACATTAGATATGAATAAATTTAAACGAAAACTTGTTTTCAATGAATTATTAGAGGAACCAACGAAAAAATTTCGAAGTTATTTATCTTATGGGACTAATGTTATTGACATTTTTCTCATTATAGACCAATTAATAATATGTCTTGAAGACTTATCAAATGAAATCTTTTATGAAATCTTTGATTATTTGAATGGTTGTGAAATAGTGAAAGCATTTTCTAATCTTAATTTTCGATTTAAACAACTACTTTACTCTTCATCACTTCTAATTAAAACTCATTTTTATTTATTTAATTATGACAAGATGATAAATACATCTAATGAATTAGAAATATTCTCAACTGAAATATATTCAAATTTAAAAATCTTATCTATTCATTGTTCAGATAATATTATTTTTCTTGACGCTTATCGATGGGAAAAATTAATTTTACATTATTATCCTCAAATAGAAATATTCTATTTCATATATTATGATCGTATGAATAATGATAATCAATATTCAACATATTCTTATGGTTTAAATCAATTTTCCTCATCGTTTTGGATTCAACATAGATGGATATTCAACGTACAAATTGATAATACAGATATCAAATATATGGTTTATCCATATAGGTAGATAGATGAAGATTTTCTAAATAAGATTAATAAATTTTATTTCTCTTCTAGAAACACGTGGTATAATTATATACTTGAAGATAAAAATATTCCCATATTCAACATCAACATCTTTAAAATTGGTTAGTTCTGATACATTATATGATGATATGATGATCGATGACATAAAACGTATTTTAGTAATCACACAAGTTTATCACTTAAATATTCATAAAGTACCTACATCAATTTGTTTATTAATCCGAATGATAGAGTATTAGCACAATGAAAAAAAGAGCTAATGAAGATAAAATTTATCAAGAAATGAAAAATTAAATGTAACACTATGGCTTCAATGTAATCTTTTTTTTCTTTCAGAATAAATAGTTCTTCTCTATAACATAACATATCCATTGACAGACAGTTAGAGACGAGTTGAAAATTTTTTATTTTGGGACGTATTGGAGATGGGACGAATCGAGGCTAAAGCCTACTGTGTACAACTGTACTTATTCTTACTTTTATGTAGCTTGTTGGTAAAAAACAAAACATTATTTAAAAAATTCTTTCATTCGTTCTTTTCTTTTAAATATTTTAGTTGATTATCCGTTAACAGTTCTAAGTAGAATATGTAGTAAAAATTGTTCATCAAATTTTTTTCTGCAAGAAGTGGTGAACTGTTTTAAATAATATTTTCATGATTTTGGGGACATGAATAGTTTATATTATATGAAATATTAATAATTATTTTTATTATTCTCTTATCGGTAATAGAATGTATATTAATTACATTATTTCGATTATATACTCATAAGTTGTTATATATTTTCTTTAATGCCTAGTTCTGTTTGGTTTTCTTTCTTCACTTCGGTTTGTTCGATATATTTATGTTAAAATTTAAATAGATTAATTTTATCAATATGTTTAATGTTGTCTTTTTTTTATATTCTTTTATTTAATTTGAAAGAATCAGGATCAATTTATCAAATCTCTTCAATTGATTTACGTATTTTGCTAATATTTCATATGTTCTTCTCAAAATTATTCATTAGTGCGTACTTTGTTGTTTTTCAATTATATACTTCTGATTAAATACATATATTAGATTTGAAAAAATGAATTTGAAAAAATTTTAGAACATATTTAAACATTTAGAATAAGAAGAAAAATGATCATATTTCGTATTTACATATGTTACATAAAGTGAGTGAACAATAACTTGGAATTTTCACAATAGTACTTTCGCCGCGGTAGTATAATGGTAGTACATCCGGTTGTGGTCCGGATGACGCAGGTTCGATTCCTGCCCGTGGCATACGATTTTTTAATTTCTTGATATAGTACAGAATAAAAAAAACATTGTTTCGTCATTTTAAATGCCAATAATAAAAGAATATCTATGTTAAACCGAGACATAGTATCATGTTCTTAAAATCGACTGACTTTTTTTAATACAACCATTAAATATATATTATAACAACTCAACTATTTATGTTAGATTTAACTTTTCTTTTAGTATTTCTTGAAGCTTTCATAAATGATTTAAAATAAATATTCCCCTTTATGAAATATGATACTTGAACCTATGATTACAATATATTTAAAAATTCGACTATGAAAATTATTTCAACTAACCTCAAAAGGACCATACAATGAAAAATATTAAGGTTTTTTTCTAAAGGAAATCACAGTTTAATAAGATAAGTTTTTACCGATTCTTTAATGAAATAGTGATGTATGTTATTCATTTCTATTAAATTATGGTATACTACTAAAGAAAATATACTGACTTCAATAAAAATAATTAACAGTCAATTATTAATCAAGATTTATTTATTTAATTAATATAATATGCATGATTCAAAGAAAGAAAAATCATCAAACGAATTTGAGTTGACAGCATAAATTAGGTCGGAGTGGATCATAGAATGAATCAATCGTTAATGTACATACTCGAGCAGAGAAAAGACTAGTTAAATCACTGCAAGTAAAAGGTTTTCGTTGATCTGTAACGGTACATGCACATGAATTTCTATTATTTGGATAGAGTTGTCCAACATATCGGCAACATTGACATTGACAGATACGTGTTTCCGTCAATACCGATGAAGATATTAATAACGTTAACAACAATATTTCGATCATCATTTTTTCTACAAAAATCTGTTAAAAACAAACTACCCTTCGATTTAAGCTAAGCTTTCGAAGAAGGCAACAAGAATGAAGAAGGGAAAGAAAATTTTCAATAGAAAAGGATGTCAACAGTCTCTTCGCTGAAACATTTTCTTCCCCATTGTCATAATTAGGGGTGTCGGCTTAGCATGAGTATTAAGTTAATTAATACTTTTTTAAATACTTTTCCGTTAGTATTAAAAAATTAATTTAATGCTTTGGTATTAGTGTTAAAAAAATAATTTAATACTTTGGCATTAGTCTTAATTTAGTATTAGAAAAATGCTAATACATTTTATAAATAAATAACTTTTTCTTTGAATAAAAGTTCTCTGAAATGAGTACTGATTTCTTTATTATAGTTTTACGCATTTCTTTAATAAAACCTTTGTGAGTGAGAATAATATTTTCGTTTGTATGTCCCACATTGATCATAGAATTATTTGCTGAATAATTTTTATTTGCATATTTGTCCACTCGCATATAGCTTAAAAGTTACTCCATGAAATTCACTTGCCATTTTTTTGCTCCAATAAAATTCGACTATTTCAAATAATGACAATGAATTAAGACTTTACCGAAAATAGAATTTATTGAATTTATTAAATTAAATATCGACGTACATCAAGCTATGTCAAGTAAAATGAAAAGGAGTATTTTGTAATTAACTTCAACTCACTATCTCTTTTATCATTTCGTAATGAAAAGCGTGCGACTTTCTATTATTATGACATATGATCTTCTCTAGATGATTTCTACATTTTATATATCACAATATTATCACACGTATGAATTATTTAAAAAAAGATGACTTGGTGCTACAAATATGTAGATTAGGATACAAAAACTTCTTCAGAAGTGAAGTGTTTTTGATTCTCGTTTTGTTATTATATTTTCATTTTCAAATATTTATGCACAATATATGAAATGCTCTCGAACTATAATAATCGTTGGCAGTAGGTCACGTGCCAAGAAGCAACACTTTATTCTTTTACTTTAGCCTACTACCAATTAAAACAAAGAAAACTATCAAATCATGTTCTAAATTGGATAATATGCACAGATATTCAGCGTGGAAAGAAAGAAAAAAAAGAAGAGATTATGTATCCACTTCATGCTAACTTGTAACACTCTTCTGAGAGAAAAATTAATAGTGGTGTGTCTATTCGCTTTTATTGTTGTTTATGTAGTCTAGTTATATCGTATATTTGAAAGAAACAGAAAGGGTGTGGGTGTGGGTGTGTGGGTGGGTGGGGTATGGGTGTGACGTATTGAATACCAACACCCACACCCGCACCCACACACCGTCAAGATCAAGAGGTTCATCATCAACAACTAATGGAGCTCCAATTATGCACTTAAAATCTAATCTTATGAGTATTACCAGGAAAAACCCATTACCATCATTATCAATTCAACCTTTAAGTGCCGATCTTGAAATCGCAACTTTTCTGATTTTATTTCGTGATAACGAGTCAACAGATTTTCAAACATTTTGGAAAAATCATACTCGAGTTTTACCACGCCTCAGTCAAATTGCACGTCAATACAATGCTATTCCAGCAGCATCTGTTTATTTAGAACAAGTTTTTAGTGTGACTGGCGCAATTAAAAATATACGACAGGCGTCTATGTCTTCAGTAACATTACGTAGTTTAATGATCTTAAGAAAGAAAAAGAACATTGAGAAACTTCGCTCATTTTCTCTTCCATAATACTAATGGACTTGATATTATTTTAAACATTATTCTTGTTTCTCTATTTTGACTATAACATTGAGTTTTTTCATCATACCTATGGAAAAAAATTTGATTAAAATACAGCGAAATAATGATTAATACTCAATTATAATGGTACTATTATAGTCGAATTTTTATCGGATTTTTCAAGCTGTAGAAGACGAACCATCTTTTATTTTGATTGCTTTGCTACCCATTTTGATGATCTGTAGTTTGATCAACAATCAATTAAAATAGGTTGTGGAATAGCCAAAATCAAAAATACCTTGCCTTTTGCAGCTCGAAAAATTTGATTATAATCGGATTATAATATTACCTTTATTGTTGGTTATTAGTCATTGCTTCGTTGGCTTTTAATCAAATCTTTTTGTCATAGGATATGTTCACATCATTTTTTTTAATGTTTCCTGTTTTTACATGAAAACCTGCAAGTCAATGTGTTCATGTATAAGGTTATAATAAAGTTAAGAACTAGATTCATGTTATCTTGATATCATGGCATATAGAATAATATAGCTATGTGCAACTCAGAAAATCATGATATGTATTAGCATTCTTCTAATACTAAATTAATACGAATGCCTAAGTATTAAGTTATTTTTTTAACCCTAATACTAAAGTATTAAATTATTTCCCTAATATTAATACAAAAGTATTAGCATCTTTGTAATACTCATGCTAAGCCGACACCCCTAGTCATAATAGATAGTATTAATTTAACGCTGATGATATGCCTTAGAATTTTACTAGCTAATAAAATTCTTCTATTTCTCTGCTTTGTGACAGTAAAATTTCAACAGATTTTCCACTGTAATGAGAAGTGTAAATCTTCTTTTATTCAACTAAGATTCTTCAATTTGAATGATAATTTAAAATGGAAGGATCAACAATGAATTTGGCAATGTTGATGCCTTCATAGAAGATCATTTATAAATCGTCAAAAAAGTTAAATTGTAACACTTGGATTATTTTGTGCATAATCATGAATCAAAATAAATGATATGAGAGAATAAAATTGATGGCTTTTATTTTAAAACAGATTTTTCGATATTATTTCTTTCGCAAACTGTATAACAAGAAATTTAAGTTGTAAATAAATATTACTTAAGTAACCAACACACATTATTAACCTGACTATTGATGATTTCGTTAAAATAAATAAAATTGTCGAAATCTATTAATTGTGTATAGTTGACAATTCTATTCTATCTTCGGATACTACGATCGAATCAAAGATTTATTATAGAAATATGCTATGTACTAATTTAGTTCACTCCTGTTACAATGTCTCAAGTTATTTCAATTGATTAATCGTTTTGTTTTGTCTGAAAATTATTTTAGATTATTGTTCATTAGGCATATTAATATTGAATATGAAGTTAGTTTTTCAGAATTTCCAACGAGCTTAATTCATCCTCTAGTTATGTATGAAAAAATTGAATATAACTATTAGAAAAAATAAAGAAAGATTATCTTATAGCTAGATAACTCAATATATTTATCAATCTGAGAAGATCGAAGAAGATTCTTCGTCTTAATGAATTAGCCTTGAAAACTATTTTTCTAGATTAATTATTTTGTTAAGATCTTTGAATATTTCCTATAGTCATACTTATAATTGAAATTATTATAATCGATAAGTTAGATTTCAGTCGTTTTCTTTTAAATAAGAAATCGATTAATGAGTCAATCTCGTTCTTTTATTCTACGATTCCATGTCAACTTGATTTGTTAGCGAAACGTTTCAATTAAATTCTTTTTTATTTATCAATATAGACTTTTTTCACTTTTAATAAACAAATATATGCATTAATCAATAAAACAATAATTCAATCCTATACAAGTAGGTTCTACATACGCAGTTATGAAAAAATAAAAAAATAACAATTATTTTCGAGATTCAATCAAATGAATGATATCTTGAATTAAATTTAATAAATTAATCTATTAAAACTTAACATATACATATATATTTTTTAATAATCTTATTAGTTTAAAACACAATTTTCTCTGATTTTTAAACAAAGTTTTGCGGCAATATTAATTGTCCATTGTATATTTATGCATAAATCCAGTTTGTCTTCTATGATTCAATTAAATATATATATATACATTTTATCTTTTAGTTTTATCAATTATTTCTTAAACAATCATAAAATAAAATATATTCAACATAAAAGCAAGCATCGATTAACAAATGAATTCATTTTTTCAACGAAATTCATTTAAGAGCCTAATTTTCGATAGGTAACAATCATTTTATATGCATATTTTGTCTCGTTAGAATCTATCTCTTCTATAGAAAATACTTGATCTGAAAAGACAAACTATTATTTCTTTTCCTTTTTTTGAAGAACATTCTCGTGAACAGTTTTCATATCATAAGCCAGAAACTGGTGGGCATAATACTATAGGCGAAAAACAGTTCATTCATTATCTATAGATGAATTTAACGTTCGAACAAAACCTTCTGATTATCTCATTAGAAGATGTAGTAGTCTCTTTATGAAATAATATTGGAAGTTTTATCTATAATTAATAATTGAATATTCATTTTACACTTTTTTGCTTAACGCTGACAGAGTACGTTATATTCTGCTTTTTCGATTTCCTGAATGTGTGACACTACTATTTAAGTGGGGAAAAAACATAAAGTTAACTGGCAAATTATGCATTATCTATTTGCATTCGTAAAACCATTTCTCTTTAAAGCTGAAAATCCCAATTGATAATATTTCTTTCACATAATATCTTTTTGTCAACCAATGAAAATCTCATTCTCTTACGAAAATATTATTACTAATATTCGAGAGAAATCCGAGCGAAAAAAGAAAAACAAATGAATAATTTTACTAGAGTTTCATGACGTAGACTTTTTATTTTTGCAATGAATAATTATGCACATCTGATTGTGTATAGAAGTATTTCTTTTTCAAATCTTATATTAGATTTTCCTAAATAATTATTCGTTAGATAAATGATGAATAATTGCTAAATTTTTCTTTAAGAAAAAACTCAATGAATGATGCTTTTCTCTTGTTAACGCAAACCTTGTAAATCTTCTCATCTAATGTCTAATTTATTTAAAAAAATGTTTATTATAATTTATTGAAAACTAGAATATTTTACGTAAACGAATCATTATGCTAAAAAAGTTTTTATTACTTTCATTTATTAAGATGAATAAAAATTTTCAACTAGCCTTTATCTTTGATTAATAAAAATATGAGAGACTCGTCTTCAATGATCAATACATGAACTTATTGTTTTGTATTACATGCAACTACTTGACACGTTAAATTTTAAAATTATAGTGCGAGAAGACGATTACTCCTAACAAATAACAGCTAGTTCAATTTTGTTTTTGACGAGTATCTTGTTCAAGCTCATTTTAGACAATTATTATCAGCATTATCATGTCTAAGGAGAAGAAATTGTTGATTTTGATTTAGATAATGTTAATATATGTTCAAAAAAGATTGAACAAAACAATCCAAGTAACGAGTGAATAGCTACAATAAAAATGTAATATAGAGCACCCGTTAAAAAATAAACATTCTGTTCGAAATGTAGAAATAAAAACGAGTGTTTGTTCATATTCGACCATCAGCGGATAAAAACGATCGTCTTTTAGAGATTTTACGCTTAGTGTATGTTGGGTTTCTATAGTGAAGCCTAAAGAGATATGTAAATTCTACATTTTAGTTAGAAAGGAGCTGCGCTAACAAGTTTTTTCATGCTTCGTTATAGTTTCAAAGGCATAAACGACAAGCAATTAATTTAAGTATATTAGCAATAACTTTCATATCAACTAATAGTAATGTTCTTTTTTATCATAAATTTAAAGATCATCAACAAAATTAACACCATCCTAATTTTTGATTGTTTTGCTGAACCTTTTTTGAAAAAATATTAACATTACGTATATCAAAATGAATAATTTCTTCTCCTTAGACATATGATCATGCTGATAATAATTGTCTAAAATAAGCTTGAACAAGATACTCGTCAAGAACAAAATTGAACCAGCTGTTATTTGTATAATATCTTTATGTGATTGACAAAAATCGATAATGATTTATATATTTATGAATGAAATCGAACTGCTATTTGAGATAGACAAATAAATATGAGAAATTTAACATGAGATAAATCATCTTTATTTTATTTTAACGATTAAATTCAAATTGATAAAATATGTCGCATAATCTACTCAAAGAAATTCAAAACAAAACAAAACAGAATCGATAGAAAATCAATTTAAAACTTGTTCGTATGTAGACACGTTTTCATAATACATCAGTTTTTCAATATTTCCAAATGTATGAGAATAAAAAGAACAATCTAATCGACTTTATTTGAAGTATCCAGTGTTACTAACTTATACTAGTAGGATAATTATGTGGTATTAAATTTTCGACTGAAAACAGTTTCGGGTTGTAACAAAATTATGCAAATAAATCTAAATAGTGTGAGAATAGATACTTATAATAAAAAATAATACTTTGAAATGAAGATATGATATAATCACCTAGAAATCGTCTAACTTTTTTGCATTCTTGAATAACGTTAGCTTGTAGATCAATGTATATTTTATTCAAAATATTTTCGAATTAAGAATATAAGTTTAAGTCATGGTAATCACTGAATCGCTGATCAATTCATCATTTTGGTGGTCTCTACTGTTTTTCAAATAGAAACGATACTAATTTCAACTGCGATCTAAACGATAAATGTCGACAACGAAAATGAGTATGAATGGCAAGATCTAAGAATAAGAGTAATAAATAATACGGAGATTGAAGATGTTTGCTGTTATCAATTGCCAATTTTTATCATTTTAATCTTTGATATTTTTACATTCGACTGAAGTTTAAAGAATTTATTCAAAAAATAGCTTAAAAAAGAAGGATACAAATTTGAACAGTTTATCTGAGAATGCATCTTATTTTTTTCAGGAAAAACTTTTTCTACAGAGGAATGTGAAAGAAATCTTGAAGTATTATAATAAAAGGAAATTTCTTTTTTTTTTTTTAAGATTGTTTTTCTTTGTCAATGTTCCATTCATATTTGTCATAAGCTAAATCCTCTTTTCAGATCGATGATTTTCTTCAAAAACATTCAAAATCAAGCTCATAAGAAACCATCCGATAAATGGGAACCGGAAAGGTGAGCACAGAAAGATAAGCACGGAAAGTTAAGCACTGGATTTATAAGCACCGATAAAATGAGCACAGGAAAGTTAAGCACGAATAAACAAAATTCATCCGGATACAGTGTATTGACTGACCCAATAAATTTATTTATATCCTATGGCAGAGTGTGGGTGTCACTACAAAGTAAAATGAGAGTAGCACCCACGCACTCAATCGCATAATTAACTACGTTCTCTGTATTTCCTCGTGCTCAACTTTCACCAATCCCGATAAATCATTAATATTGAGTTCAATAAAAATCAACATTGATCTTTTTCAATTAAAATTAAAGTCTTCAAAATACAGTGTCTTCAAAACACACCATTATTTTTAGCACTATTTTCATCGACATTTAATTTTCTAAAGATTGTACTCTAAGAAATTAACTGTTTCTCTTCTATATTTATATAAATCACTTAAAACTAATACAGATGAATTTAAAATCGGATTAGTTCGATTAGAAGTTTTGTTCCTATTTAAAATTAACGAAAAATCAAAAACTGATCTTATTTCTTATTGAAATACTTCGTAAGAGTTTACACAGGTATTGCTGCAATGATTGATCAACAACTATTAGTCAAGAGTAAATTGAAAAAAATACAATTCAAATGGCACATGAATATTACTTATTAGATGTATCTACTCTTGTGTTATTGATATGCATACATATCTATGCAAGTTTGTTATAACCATAAACTTGATATTTACTATCGAATAATAGGATTCGCTATACTATGACCATTAGAAGTAAAACTATAGAATTCATTCATTTTCAAAATGTAAACATGAAAAATCTAGATCTATCTTGGTGACAAAATTTTTATTAAAATATCAAATCTGTTTTGTTTCATTAAATTCTATTTTTCTATTCTAATTTATCGAAAAATATCAAATTTACTGGTCAATTTCCGAAAAATACTTCAGTCGAACAGCCGATATTATTTAACTCCAGCAAAATTTTCGATGACCAAAAATGACAAGAAAAATAGATGATAAATAGTTATTTTAACAATCTAGAAAAAAAAAAAGAAAAGTGCAAAACAACATGAAATTAGATTTCATTTCTGTTTCATTTCACAAAATTTTATTTTTCCAATAAAAACAAATAATGTGACAAAAACAAAACTGACAAGATTTTATTAACATGTGTTGAGTAATCAAACATATTCATATACATAAAGATTACTGGTAAAAACAAAAAAAAATACTTAAATTGAAATTTATAGTGACGCCTTTCGATAATGTAAATATGTATTGTAGCCAAAAGTGTAGTTCTCTTATCACAGTAAATATTTTTATTTTTATAAAGCTGACCGAATATAATTTATTTTATTTAGAAGAATAACATTACAATAACGCATTCAACAAAGTTCATATATCACAGCGAACTTAATTTTTAACTTTAGCATCTGTCTAAATTAAAATAAGTAATTAGGTATACATAACAATAAAGCATAGAAAAAAATTCACGTATAAAAAAACAAACGTTTTTCCTCTTCAAAAGCCTATGATTTTTATATAATTAAATACAACGTTTCTAAATGAAGTGAAGCAAAATTCGAACATTTTCTTTTTTTTATTCTATAAAACTCATGACTTCCTTAATAAATATTAACAAAGACTGTTTTCTTATCAAAACATTGGATTTGTAAATCAATATAAAAATAATTTTATCGAATTGAATGATGTTTCTTTTTGTAGAGAACTTCTATATTTATATCATTGATAATTAACATATTTATTCATTATATATAAAAATAAACATTCCAATGAATAATTCGTTTAAATTGAAATGAATTATATTCAACAAAAACAGATTTTACTACGTAACCAAACGTATTTTAATTAATCTTGTGATGATAAAAAAAAGTACAAACAGTAAAAATAAAACGCAATGACACGTTAGTCTTCTTGAGGCTTATAGAGAATTACTCGATAAAATAATCTTAGATTGTTATGGTAGATGCATTTTATTGAGCGCGCATCAACCCTGGCTAATCTTTTTTAGAGAGATATAAATATACGAAGAATCTTAAATTGAATTTTCTAAAAAACTTTTGTTTTAAATCGACTCTGTTAGAAGAAGTTTTTATTTCAAAGTGTATATACAAAACAAATACATTAGAGACTTTATTTTCTTAATAGAATTCTCAAAGCGTATAATAAAATGCTTTTATTTTTTTGTCGATTCATTGAGTTAAGACATTTTATGAAGTTTTACAATTTTTCTTCCAATGAATGATACTTTATTTATAAAACAAGAAAAATAACTTTTTTATTGAAGTCTAGTAGATCTATTCGTTTACTAAAAATTTGTATTATTTTATTTAGGTTTTCAACTAAAAATAGATCAGATATTCTAAAAAAATGAAAAACATTTTAGAGACACAAGAAAAAGAACGATAAATATTTATTCAGTTGTTTCAGAAAAATGAGTGAGTTCCTTATTTAGTTAATTGCAACGTAGTTTTTTCTAAACAGGCATAAATGTTAGGTAGTTCCGCGTTACATTTCAATTCCTTATTCTCTTATTATTTGATCATAATTTTTCAAATAGTAACACTCATAGATTTATTTGTTTTTTTTTTCATTTAGTTGATCTCAAAGAATTGATTAATTAGTAGAATGTTTATCAATACAATTATTTTTATTGTATTAACATTATTAACTCAAAGTGCCTGGAGCAAATTTGATGTTGCATCTTCAAAACCAAATTGTACTGTACAACACAATGGACAACAATTAAGTGAGGGTGATAGTATTGATGTTCAAGGGAAGTTATATAAAGTTGAAGATTGTGAACTTCATCGAGCGTATCATGCATGTGGAACTCATGTTTTGTTTATAATTAATATTGTTTGCCAAGCTCTAGAAAAGCATAAAATAAGTCCAAGTAAGCAGCGATTTTCTCGATTTGTCAAACAAAAATTGCTGACAGAAGCTTGTTGCCAAAGTTTATGTACCATTTCTGAAATGACACGTTATTGTCCTTAATGGAAACGCAAAGACCAATATTTAATATTATAAGCCTTTGCGCTATTTTTTTGCTTTTTATTTCTATTATCAATATGAGAAGATCTCTAGATAATTATTTCTAATTATATTCTTTTGAATTCATTGATTATCATAAAGAATTCTTTATATTATCATTTTAACACTTTTTATTTGTCAATAAAAATAAAATTCATTGTTTCATATTTAAGAATAAGATGGAGTTATGATTGTGTTTTTTTCTTTATTAATTCTAGATTTATTTTATTCAAACGAAATAATTAACAAATTCAAAGCAAACCGAAAATTAATATCAATAGAAATAAAATATTGTTTAATCATAGGATTTTATTCAATTCAAATGGAAAGAATATATTTTAGGCTATTGAATCATTGAATATTTTGATGAACTAGAAGACATTCTACTGATGAGTGAATTCTTTTTTTTATTCGGTATAGTTGCTCCTTTTATTGTGACATTTTCTAGTTTAAAAAGAACATGTCAATTCCATCAAATGAAGACAAATGATGGCTCAAAAACTAATTATCTAATTATAATGTATTTACAGATGTTCTCTCATTTCTTTTTTTTTTATTAAATTTTTCTTAATCTTTATTATATAATCTGTTTTTGATTGATCCAGCTTTGACTTGATTATTTTGTTATAATCAATTTTGCAAAAACAAAATCAACTAATATGTTTCTAATGACAAAAAGAAAGTTCATTATCGATTTAAAATAGATTATTTATTATAATTGATAATGATTCTTAAAATGTACTCTGATATAGTTTTCGTTATTTCAAAAATGTCATCTTAATTTTTTAAATTCTATTTTGTTATATTCACGAATGTTTGAAATATATTATTTTTAGTTTCTTGATTAAAACAGAATAATTTTAATAAAAAGGAAAGAAAAAAGTATTAAATCAACGAAAACATATTGATAATAAAGCGACAAGTTTTGTGGGAACAATGCATCATCAAATCAGATAATTATTCGTTTTAACAAATATAGCAAAATAAAATAGGAGAAAACAATATCTGAACTCTTTCTATTAAAAATAAACACGAGTATATTTATCGAACAGAAAAATTATTAATATCTGATATGAAATATGATTACACATAAGTTATTCAAATAGTAAAACTTTAAACAAACAAGATAACTCATGTAAATTCGAAAACACGAGAACAATTTTTAAACATATTAAAAACTCGAAGAAGCAAGACCCGTTACGATACTTAAAATAAATACAAAATATTATAATAAAATAATATAATAGAAACTATTAGTAGAATTTTATGAAAAGTTTTTACTTAGTTTAAGAAAATTTAAGAAAATCGATCTTTAAAAATATTAATTATTTATTTTCAAATTTTTTTTGTAATTTTGAGCTCATTATCAATCAAATCTACTTCAAACAATACAACAGACGTTCTGTTTTTTTTGTTGCTTTTCAAATGGTTGCGGGTGTGTGTAATTAAGTTTTGCACGCATTTAATTAATCACAAATCAAGCTTCAAACCGTATGATTCTCATCGCTAGTTCTCTCGTGGAATTATTAACAAATGACATTATCAGTTTTAAAACAAGAGAATATCTAAACTGCATTATAACATGTTTAACTATAGTAAATAATATTGATAAAGAGTTCAATTATTAATTCAAGAAATAATAATACGAAGAATAAAACATTCATCTGCTATAAATACACGTAGATTCAATCAGATACAAAATCAAATTTCGCTTGACATAACTGATATGTTGTTCGTATTTAACATTTATTTTGAGATTTACTAAAGAAAAATATATTTCCAAAGGCAAGATAAATAATTGTTTTGTTTGTAATTCTAAAAATTGTTGCAATTTAGAAAGATTTTTCTAAATGACAAGATAACTCTATCAAATACTATTGAGATGCACAACGAAATTGTCGTGATAAAAAATTGTTCGATTCAAAAAAATACTTCAAGAAATACAAGTGAATAGAAGATCGCTTGATTATCGATGCGAGTCTTAAAAATATCATTTCTAATCATATGGAAAAAAGAAAGACCTACAATAATCAAAGAAATGTTGAAAGGTTTTCCCCGAGCGATCTATATGAATCGTAGATTTTTAATTGCAACTTTTATAAATAATTACATAGGCAAAAATATAATTCGAGTTATTTGAAGTAAACAAAAATGTAATGCGCAATAAAACACGTTTATAGAATGTTAAAAAGCAATTTATTGATATTAATCTTTTTCTAATAGAGTTTAAGAAGATTTTCGATCTTCTCAATCTCCATTATAAGCATATCAAACAAAGCACACTTTCAGTACACGAATCAGATTTTTAAATCTACTTAAGTGTTTTGGATTTACATTTGACATACTTCAAAAAATTTGTTTTGTATATTTACAAGCATGATTAAACAAAACAAAAAACCTATTAAGCATAACGATATAAAAAAAGATGCTTCGTTAAATATTCTCATGTTATTAATTCTAATAGATTTTTCTATAGACCAGAAAAGCATGCATTATTTTATTCAATGTCCAATTTATACTTAAAAATAAAAAACAACTTGCTTTTTTTTATTAATCTATTATTTAAATACAAAATCTTTTTCAAAAAAAATAATCAATTAGAAATCTTTTCTATGTGAATATATAAAAAGATGTATATATAATAATTAAATTCAATCATAACTATGATTCATAATAAATCTAGTAAAGAATCAATTGAGCTATGATAGCTTTTTGTTTTCAACAAATTTATGTTTGAATAAACTATTCTCTTGCGTAAAACAATGATAAATAGTTCAATAGACAGTATGATGATACATTAATCAGAAATAATAGGCAATAGAGAGAATAGTGCACCTATGGTTTGCATGAAGAAAATTACAACAACACGTGTGACTACGTACGAACGAATATAGTCGGATTAATAAATGAGTCAATAGAGAAAGAATCCTTTTTTAAATTAAGATTTTTAAGTCGAAATTATAAAGGAAGTTGCTACTTTTATCTAATAATCGAATTCTATCTTATCTTATATTTTCTAATTGGTTACTATCGAATATATTCTTTGTTGCAATTACCATAATATCAATGTAGAGAAAATATGACAAAGAATTCAATGAATATAAAGAAATATCTATTAAAGAAATATTCAACATTTTGGTTCTATAGAGAGAAACTATAAGTGTATATGTTGTATGATTGATTATTCCTGTCGAGAAGTTTACATGGAAAAAAGAATGAAATCTTGAAATGATATATGATTTATGACAGACAACTTATATTTCGTAAAGTTTACATTAAGTATAAATCAATGTAAATGGTATGCATACGAAATAAGTTTCAAGAATATAAATTATATCTATGAAGAAAATACTGTAACCGTCATTTACAACCCCATATATGTTCACTAATCTATAATTTAATATTTCTTTAAAAACAAGAAATATTAAATAAGATTTTTTTTATAATAAAAAAAAAGAAGAAGAATATTATTAATATATGAATCAGTTATTCGATGTATAGAATTTGAATAATTTAAACTAGAATATTCGATATAGCTAGTATTTTTTAAATATCGAAGTTTGTTTTCTTTTATATCGTTAAATATAAAAAAATGCAAATGAATTATTAGTATTGCATTGGATTAGGATTTGTAAAATTGAAGTAAATATTCTTGTAAGATGAACTGATATGTAAATGATAAAGACTAATATTGATAAATAGTTAAGGTAATACTTCCTTCCGATTCCTAAATAAATTCCATTGAGATTAGATTTATTTGAGCATTATGTAGATATGATAAACTATTTATTTATCTTGTCCAATATAAAATATTCATCTTTGTTTCGTTTCCTTTGTTTTAATCAAACAATTAACAAAAAATCTATTCTAAAATGAACAAAATGACATTTTGTTTTTTAAAGAATGCTAGTGTTATTTTATTGAATTGTAATAATCTATGATGAGAAAAATCTATTGATATTCTCATGAGAATATTTTCTTTAGAATGATCATCAATAAATTGTATAAATAAATCAGTTAAACGTGTGCATTCTGATTGTCATTTCTTTTTCTTTGAGAGTAATGATCAGTTATTTCATGATATGAAGCTGTCATCATCTAGCCTCATTTATTTATCTTAAAACTAATTCTTTGTTTTATCTTTCTTTGTTCTTATCAATGAAACAAAAAGAAAAAAAGAAAAAGAAGATGTTTATTTAACCAATAAATGCTCAACAAGGAACAAATGTTTATTGTCAAAATTAAACAAAAGAAATTTTGTTGCTTTTAAAACTTGTGATGATTGACATATGTTGAAAATTGAATAATTTCTTGAAAAGATAAAAATCAATTGAAAGATTTGATGATGTAATTCATGATAAGTTAATCCAGAGAATTGAAATATGAGATGATCTTGTTTTAAGAACAGATGTTTATACAGAAGCTCATTGAAAAGTGCTGAAGAAAAGATATATGTATCATTTGTTGATGGGTAACACAATATGCTCGTTAAAGGTCTATCCATATCAATGATTTCTTAGACTATGACAACTATTGACCGTTCTAACGTCCGGATAAAGAACATTTCGAAGATTTTATAATTAATATCATTCTCATTATTATTTATTACAAACATTTATATCAAATTTATGTGACAAACATTAGAAAAGACACATGGAAAACATACGTTGTTATTTTTCATGCGATAAGCTAATCATTCTCGAACTTCATCATTTCTTTCTTCTGTCTTATTTCTAATAATAATCAATTTTCACGGCTATTGCCATTTGCTTTTCCCCTCTTTCGTTTTTTTTCTTCTTTTCAAAGAAATCTTCATCGAAATGCAAATTGCATAGTTAACCTTGAATGATATTCATTTATGCGTATAGGCATTATATATCTTTTTTCTTCAATTCGTTTTCATCATCATCACAACAAAAGTTTTTTTTCATAAGTTTGTATAATATTCGTTTCGTTAACATTCA